CTAATTTTTTATTTGGATTCTATGTATGTATTCCTATAATTAGAATTAGCTCTTGATGGATAAATTTCTTTAAACTTGATGTAAATTTCCAAGGTATCAAATATCTGGTGAGTGAATTTTATAAGTGTTTGTCTTTCCTGCCCTCCAGGAACTTACAGTTCAATCATGCAAACAAATAAATACAGTGACCAGAAATACATACTTGTGGGTTGGGGATTTAGCTCAGTGGCACCATGACTGCCTTGCAAGTACAACGTTCTGAATTTGATTGCCAGTATTGTGAAAGAAAGACAGAGAGAGAGAGAGAGAGAGAGAGGAAAAAAGAAAAGAGAAAGAAAGGAAGGGAGAGAGAGAAAGAAAGAAAAAGAAATACATACTTGTGAGTACAGCCATGGCAACAGGGTGTTGAATAAAATGGATTTCAAAACGAATATGAATCTAAAGGATTTTATCTTCAAATCAGATACAGATTTGCATTTTGTTATTATTGATGGTTTTATTTTAAAATGCTCAAACAGCACATTCTAATGTAATGAACATGGGCCGGGGATTTAGCTCAGTGGTTTCGCTGCCTGCTGCGCAAGTGCAAGGACCTGAGTTCGATCCCCGGTACCAAAAAAAAAAAAAATTGTCTACATCTAATGTAATGAACATTGATTTGACAAATGACTGAGTTCCTTAGGGCTATATGATCATTTAGATAAATCTCTCGTTTTTTCATAATATTGATAGATTTTAAAGAATCTGTTTTCTGGTTTTCCTTACTCCTTGCCCAAAATATTTATTTTTTTAAAACACTTTGAATCCCAGGTCTTTACACTGAGATACATCCCAAGCCCTATCTTTTTTATTTTTTTGTTTTCATTTTGAGACAAGGTCTTGCAAAGTCACTAAATTACCCCAGCTGGGCTCAAACTTGCTATCTTCCTGCCTCAACCTCTCAGAATACTGAGATTACAGGCATGTACCACCAATCCTGGCTTCCCAGAATTTTAATAGAAGGTGATTTTTCAGAAAGACAAAGGTGTGGAGGAAAGATAGCCTCTTTAATAAATGGTGCTGGAAAATTGGGTTTCAACTTGCCAAAGATTAAAACTAGACCTATGTTTCTCACCGTGTACTAAACTAAAATTGAAATGGATCAAAGATCTAAATATTAAAACAGAAACACTAAACCAGCTGGAAGAGAGATTGGGTAGAACTCTTGAAGAAATTGGCATAGGAAAAGACTTCATGAACAAGATCTCAGTCTCATGTGAACTAGAACAAAGAATCAACGAGTGGGTTCTCATCTTGTTAAAAAGCTTCTGCACAGCAAGAGAAACCACCAACAGTGTGAAGAGACAACACACAATGTGGGGGAAAAAATTTACCAGCTGTTCCTCAGACAAAAGACTACTATCTAGAATGTATAAAGAACTCAAAACTCAGACCTCCCAAATTTAAACACCCAATCCAAAAATGGGCATCTGAAATGAACAGACATTTCTCAGACAAAGAAGGAAAAACAGCAAATAAATATATGAAAAAATGTTCAACATCACTGATCATTCGAGAGATGCAAATGAAAACAACACTGAGATTCCACCTAACCCCAGAAAGAACGGCTGCTATCTTGAAATCAACCAATAACAAATGCTGGCAGGGTTGTGGGGAAAAAAGAATCCTTCTTCACTGTTGGTGGGAGTGTAGACTGGAGCAACCACTGTGGAAATCAGTATGGAGATACCTCAAAGAACTAGGTTTAGAGGTCCCATTTGACCAGCTATTCCCTTGCTGAGTATCTTCCAAGAAGAATTAAAAGCATCATACCACAGTGATATATGTACACCCATGCTTATAGCGGCACAATTGTTAATAGCTAAATCTTGGAAACAGCCCAAATCCCCATCAACTGGTAACTGGATAAAGAAGGTGTGGGTTTTTCCTAAAATGGAGTACTACTCACCCATAAAGAATGAGAAACTAGAGCCATTTATAGCTAAATGGATGCACATTGAGACCGTCTCTTAAGTGAAATAAATAGGACACACCTATGTAAATACAGAATAGTTTCCCTGGAGCAACTGAAAGTGTAAACAAGGATCAAAACATAAAATATATAATGTTAAATAGGAAGAAAAGTTCAGAGGGGAAGGGATAGGGGAAGTGGGAGGGGTAGGGGAAAGGAAAGAAGGGAAAGGAAAAAATATGAGAAAAGGAAAAAAATGGAAACAAGTCTTTGTAAATAGGAAGGGGTGGAGGGCTTGAAGGGAGGCCAGGGGAAGGGGGAAAAAATAAGAACCAAGATACGTCATGTGAAGGTACAAATTCCCAATGATGAACGTCATCATACAGTATACCGAAAATGTACCAATAAACTTAATGAATAAAAAAAAGACAAAGCTCTAAAATATTTTTGAGGCTTAGGAATAATGTAAGATAAATATCTTTCCATATGATATCCTAGAGTTAAGTATAGAAATATCAGTTTCCTTTTTTAACTTCCACATAAAATCTGCTTAGAAGAACACTAATTAAGTCTAGAAATTATGTTCTATATATTATTGGAATTTCCTGAGAGTTCTATTAACATAAGATGCACTTATTTTCAAAATGTGTCTATTGCTATTTGGGAAAAGAAGCTTTGGTTTTTGAAGATGATGTTTTGAGGTTAAAAATGGAGACAGTGACCTTAGTCTCAAGATTTGTGCGGCTGGCATGCCATCTATCTCAATGATACCTAACAAGATTATCAAATGGACATAAGCAGTCATGGTAAGCGGGTGCTTGCAGCTGACAGTGACGGCTGTATTTGGGGTGATGGGGAACAGCATTTCTGTTAGTTCAAGTGAAATACAATGCCCTGCCAACTCGAGGTATCAGTGTGTTCAATCCCCCTGCAGTGCATGTCCATTTTCTGTTGCTGCAATTAAAAATCAGTCGATACAAAGTCAAAATGTTGTACATTCTTCCCCTATCCCTTTCCCTGTCACTGTGTTTCCAGCCTCACCGGAAGAACATGTCACTATGGTAACCAATCCCTCTGGTGCACAGACCTTTCCAGTCAGATTGCCAAGCAGAGTACCACAGAATCAAAGCCCTGAATGCAGCCACCAGAAGCCATGAATTCTATGCCCCTTTCTCTAAGTGGGGTCAATCAATCCCAGACAGAATGCCTGTCATGTTCTAGATGGTGGTCAAGGAAGGAAATTCAAGAATTCCTTCAGCAAATCCTGCCAGCGTTTGCCAGGCATTATTAATGTGAATTCTCCCCTGCTTTTCAGCTAACTTCCTGCCGTTTCTATTTTAAAGAAAGCAGAAAATGATAGTTAAAATAATACTTGATGAAGCTGCAAACTGTCATAGTCACCTCTTCTCAAAAAATACTTTTACTTCCTCTTGTTTTCCTACTTCTCAATCTAAGCCTACATTGTTCTCTTTTGGAGTCCCCCAGTATTCTGCACATCTTTATAAAGTTATAGAGCTCAAAATGGGTCACCCCACCCTAATAAGATCCTCATCATAAAGCAGATGGGATGTCTATGGCATGAACACACCCATAACTGATTCAACTGAAATCCCTAGTCATCCTAAAGAAGCTACAAAACAAACAGCAAGATGGATTCTCTCTGGACCTACCTACCACCTAAATGTCAACTAGCTTCCTCCACCATAGACACTGCTTGTCATTTTTAAACAAGTGATTTTTTTCAAATTGATATTCTTTCTGATCAGTCCAATACTTTTATAAATCAAAGGGCATCACTTCTCACAGTATTATTTTCTTTTTTGGTTTTTTCGTTTGTTTGTTTGTTTGTTTGGTATGGGGGATCGAACTCAGGACCTCACAGTTGCGAGACAGGCGGCAGAACCACTGAGCTAAATCCCTGGCCAATCACAATATTATTTTCAAACATCAGCAAACCTCACAGCCATATAATAAGAGACATTAAGGACTGCTGTATGTCTTGTCCTCAAAGCATCTTGCAAATAGTAACATCATCACTGCTGGGCTTTCTCATTTAATAGTTGAAGAGAATGAGAGGAGGTGAGACTCATAACCTCTGCACATCTTCCCAGGGTGCATGCAGCCACCATGGAGGAGAACGCATTCCTTTTTTCCAAGCAATATTAACACACATCACATCCAAACAATGTTTTGGTAGGTTTATGGAACAGGGTCATGCAAGATTAACAAATTGTATCAAATAAGGAGAATTTAAGACTTAATCATACTAAAGTATCAAGTACATTTTTATCTTTAGTAAATGTAGCTTTTTTCTTTTTTGGTATACTTTCAGTATTTTTCATGTGAACCTTCTGAAAACTGTAATTTTTGTCTCTGAAATGCCCACTTTGGTGTTACTTTCTTTGTACTCAGTAGAACCCACGAATATTCAGTGCACACAAGTCCCTTTTGTCACCACTTTTTTGAAGGAGAAATAAAGAACTGTGATGTTATGCTACTGCCCAACAGGCTTGGGACTGCTCAGGGCAGGGGCTATGTATGATGTGTTGGTGTCTATATGACCAATGCCCGCACCACGCCTGGCATGGCACGGCACTCAGCAGACGTTTCTGCTAGGAGCAAGGCCTTCTCTGTGAGATATGCCCCTACTTCCCTTAATTGGATCCGTTCAACATCTAAAATAAAATTCAGATTCGAACCTGTTATCCCCAACACGTCACTCTTAAGGGTTTCCTCTTAAGGACACAACCTAATACTGTGGATTCCCTTCCTTCTCTGAAGCTGATGAAACATTATCCTGGATAAAAACCCTGGACCAGCAGATTCCGGGCGAATATGGACAGACAAGAGTAAGGCCAGAAATGGGCAGAGAGTAAAGCCTCCAGCACGCTGCATTACCTGCATTACCGTTGTGGGAAGGGGCGGCCAGGGTAACTGCACCTCCCGGAGCCGGTATTTGGGGCAGTCGGGGGAGAGCGAGGCGTGGGGCTGCGGGGCCTAACGGAGGCGACCGCTCTCCGCAGCGCCACGCCTCGGGCCTCTCACTTACCCTTCCGAATGAGGGCGGCGATCTCGGGGTCGAATCCCTGCCGGTGGCATTTCCTCCAGAGGCCCATGTTGGTGGAGTTGTACTGCCGGCTGCACTCGTCTGCCGGGCTCATGGCGAAGAGCTGCCGGCGGTTCCGGGCCCGGAGGAGTTTGCCCTCCCAGCGGTCCAGGCGCGAGCGGCTGGCCCGGAGCGGCAAGTTGTTGTTGTTGTTGTAAATGAAGCCGGGGTCCACCCGGCGGGTGTTGAAGGCCTTGCACCTGTCCCTGTGCTTCCTGGCGTCCGTCTCGTACCAGTGGTCCGAGCAGATGGCCACGGCCAGCATGCCGAGGGCGCAGAGCGCTAGCGAGAGGCCCGTGTAGAGCAGCAACCTTCCGGCAGCCATGCCTCCGCCTCGCCTACACCTTGGGCATGACCCGCCGCGGCCTCGCCTTTCTCCGCGCGCCGGCCGGGGACCAAGCGGCGGCGCCGAGCTGGGGGTGGGAACAGCAATAGCGGGGGACTCGGCCCGGAGACGGGGGGGATGGCGGCGGGCAGCCTAAAAAGTTCTGACCGCACTCCCGGGCATCTTCCGGGACAGGGGCAGCCGCTGGCGGCGGCGGACTCCACGCGGCGGCTTCCCGCCCCCTCCCCGCCCCGCTGGGAGCGGCTGCTCCGAACCTGCGGCCTCTGCGCGCGCCCCGGCTCCGGAAACCCAAGCCCGAGCGCCCTCGGCTGCGGTGGAGCTCGCTGCAGATTCTTTGTGCAGCGAAGAGGCTGGGGAAGATTTAGGGGATGGGGCCGTGCGAACAGGAGCACCCGCTCGTCTACGGCTACGCAGCCCGCCGGCGGAGGAGACCGCCGGGTGCCAGGGCCGGCCGCCCCGAGTCCCGCCTGGATCTGCCTCGAGTGTCTCTCCCCTTTCTGGTCTGCAAGCGGAGACCCGAGATGTGCACTCAGAAGAGATCTTCCTCCCTGGGTCGGGTCTTTTCGAGATCTCCGTCCTCAGGTCCCTCGCCGGCCCACGCGGGGCTCTCAGCGCCGGGCTTCCCGCGGACGCGCGCTCTCTGCCCACCGTTCCCCGCGAGCTACCCGGCTGTCGGCCTCCGGCCTCGCCATTCAGGCAGACGGCGCGGACACCCGGGCGGAGCTACAGGACGAGTCCTGGCCCGGGGTTGGCGGAGAATGGGCGGCCGCGGACGGGCGCGAGGGGCGGGCTGCGCAGAGGAGGGCGCACCGGGCAGAGAGCGCGGCACGGGGGGCCTTCAACACCATGGACAGGGCGCGCAGTCGCCAGGAGCTTCTGGCCCCGCGGCAGGTTCCCTGGGCGTCACGCCGCGCTCTCCGGCGCCTTCTTCCTGAAGTGTCCCCCCGGCCACCACCAGGCCGCCTCTGCCTCACTTCTTGTGGCTCCCCGAAGCCCGGGAGCGTGCAGTCCAGGTGCAAAGAAAACGCTGCGGGCTGGGAGGAAAACCCGGGTCCCGGCTGCTCCAACAACCCGCCCCCTTCTCCCGCCACCTGAGCCTGGCACTCTAGCGCCTGGTCCGCTCTGCCCAACTGGGGTCAGCCGCTCTGCGATTGCACCATTTTCTTCGCGGCCCGCCCGGGCGCCGAGACGCCGGCTCCCTAGGCAGCAGCGAGCAGCGAATCCGGTCCCAGCCTCGGCGTCGGGCGATCAGGTTCCCGGCACGCGACGGTCGCCGAGGTGAAGGGGGGGGGCGGGGAGCCGTACGGTTCGGTTCCCCCTCCCTGCCTCCTCCTGCAGCCGCGGCGGCTCCGAGGCCTCACGGGTGTCTGGGAGGAGC